GACAATTGTTGTGAGTTTGAGGGCAGCCTGAAGTACATAGCAAGACCCTGTCTCAAAAAACTATACCACCAAATAAACCACCCACAAACGAACAAAATCCAGGGCCTGTGGCTATGGCTCACTGGCAGAGCATCTGTCCAGCATGGGGGAAGCACAGGGTAATCTGTCTAAAAATGCTTGACAGAAGCTACCTGGGGACCTCTTCAATGGAGGGTGGCCTGCACGCTTCACTTCACAGATTTCCACACTGTTCAAGAACCTTCAACTTACAGGTATGACTTTTGTAACTAAAGATTTTAAGAACTGACCCATTCGCTTACTTTGAGACAGAATAGAAAGCTCTCAGGAACATTATGCAATAAAAGCCGCTGTGCGACAGAAAAGCTCTGGGGCTGCTGCTCCAGAGATTTGCACAGTGGTTTCCTGCGACCTCTGGGGAGGACAAAGGCTATGGCTGGCTTGAGGTGCCTGGAGCCTCCGACTCCTCACTGGCAAGGAAGGTGGCATACACCCCTGGCCCAGGATTTGCCATCGCAACACTAATTCACCTTCTGGTCACTGCCAAGTGTGTGACTGTTTCTCTACTGCACCTCCCATAAATTCCTGCCACGGTGGACTTTATGCTGAGGCTTGTGCCGTGCAAATGAGGCCTTCTAAAATTAAATACACCCTGAGACCTTGGTTGGCCGTGGATCCCCGCTGGCCTGCCTGTGGACTTCCCACCCCCAGCTTTTCTCCCTATCCTCCCTGACCAGGGCCATGGGGAAGGGAGGCAGAGCCTGCAAGGTCACAAGAGGCGGGGCAGGCAGACAGCAGAGAGATCTGCTGGGGGGCCTTCCAAAGGCTCTGATTACACTAATTTGCAATTTCCAGGCCCCTACTCAGTCTGGGGTGGCCAGGGAGCCCCTTGTTCACCTTTGCTGCTGGGGTCCTGGGTGTCTAACCCTGGTGTGAAGGACTCAGGCAGCTCCCCATCCTGGGCTCTTTTTCTTGTTGGGAGTGATTCTGTGGTCACTTAGCTCATGGCTCTCCCATGTGCTGTGTTGTCACATTCCTGGGGTGGCAGAGGATGCAAAAGTCCAGTCTTGGCCCCTGGGGTGTGACTACACCCACATGGAGTGCTGGCTTTGGAGCCAGGAGACCCCACAGGAGGAGGAACTTCTGTCACCAGGGACACCCAGCCTGATTGATGGCAGCAAGATGGACAGGCACAACCTCTCAGGTCCACAGCGTGAGGGTGCAGGCCTGCCGCATGCCAGGGAGGGCTGGAACTCACAGAGGAGTGATGTGGGCAGATACCAGAGCCGGGTGGCCTGCATGGCCATCACGGCCACCCCCCCCCCAGGACAGAACCAGCTGGTTTCCCTGAAGCTCACATGTGCCACGCCTCTCTGCCCTCCGTCCTCAGCTCTGAGCACCTGAGAAGCAGTGAGTAGTGGAGGTAACTACACCTCCATATTTCTACCTGAGCAGAGAGGCTTGCAGGGCTGGCATGCGCAGTGCTCAGGATGTTTAAAATGTAACTGTAGACCACCATTCTCCTGCTGGAGCCTGAACATCCCCAAGGGTGGTGTCCTGACCTCAGAAACAGTGTGGGAAATAAACACACAGTCCCCGGGGCTTTGCACAAGGATATCACCCCAGCACTATGGCTGTGTGCTGCCGTAACTCTGCCCTCCAAGCCCTTGGCCAACCTTGAGTGCTGGCTCTTCTTCAAACGTCCTTTGCTCTAGGCTACAGTGAAACATACTTCCCTTGGCCCAGATAACCCCAGAACCCTGGGGGACCTTTCCTTCTTATAGAAGCCATTCCTGACCTGACTCCCCAGGTAAATGTGCCAATGAGGTCAGGCACATGCGGGTGCTGAGGGGTCACTTCAGTGTGGCAGGTGGGTGATTCTTCATTCAAAATGCTGAAAGGCACCCCCTATGATGGCCACTCCCGGGACTCAGAGCTCAAGGTAGCCAGAAGTAAGAGTAGGCCTGTGCAGGCAGACAGGCTTGGCAGGGCTTCCTGTGGCACTGTCCTTTCTGACCAACACCCCGGAAAGCTGGTGACCTAGATGCGGTTTTTCTCCAGGAGAAGGAAGGCCTGACCCAGTACGAGATGTGAGCGCAGCTGGGACCTTGTTGCGGGGAGGGCACCTGATGGAAGCGGTCAGGTCACCGAGGGCAGGACCCAGGAAGGAGTGACGGCTCTCCCGGGATGGGGATGTCTTGGAGACAAGTTGTTAGAAAGATCAAGACTGTCCCCTCCCCACACTCTGGGTTCCTGCCCTGCCGTGAGAGCTCTCCTGCCCACATCTCCAGCCGCAATGACACACAGCCAGAGCCCTGACCATAGCTGGTACCGTGTTGCCATCTGCACTTCAGCCTCAACACAGTGCGCTGAACAATGCTCTTTTGGGGCCGGGGATATAGCTCAGCAGCATAAGCGCCTGCCTGGCAAGCGCAAGGTCCTGAGTTCGATTCCCGGTACCAAAAAACCATGCTCTTTGTGGACCCAGCCTAGATAAAAGACGCTACGACCACCAGATATGATCAATCATTGAAACCACCAAGCAAATCCAGAAAGCTCTCAAACAGGTCCTGGGGCAGCTGCTCAGCACAGGGAAGGCTCGTGACTCACGAGACCCCAAGTGCCACCCTCCAGCTCCGGCTCCAGGACCCACTGACCTCAAGTGTGAGCACCTCATCGGCAGCCTCAGAGGGACTTTGCCGCGCAGGGTTTTCTGGTGACGATGATGTCGTGGTCCCTGTGCAGTCTGTTGGGATACTGACGCCATTGGTGCCACTGCTGGGGACTGTGGGAGGAAGGAGGAGAGTGTCCAGCCAGGCCCAACCCCTCTCATGGCCCAGGGTATGAGGCGCCCTTAGAAGGATACCTAGCATTGCTGCTAAAAGTCACATGCTCTTAGATAAGACACAAATGCCTCATTTATTCCAAAAGAGAACTGTGCAACTTTTCAGTGTGTTTAGAAGCATTAGTGCTAACTAGCAAACATATACACACAATAAAATAAAAATTAAAATGAAAAATACTGAAGAACAGCCCTTTTTTACTGGAGACTGAACCCAAGGTCTCATGCATGCTAGGCAAGTGCTTTAGCACTGCACTGTACCTCTGTCGCTTTTTAAATTTATTAAACGTTTTAGACAAGGTCTCACTAAATTGTCTAATCTGGTCTAGACCTTGTGATCCTCCTGCCTCAGCGTTCCAAGTGGCTGAAATTGCAGGTGGGGAATACCTCGTCATGAGCTCTGGTAACCAACTTTAGTAATGAAGTACAGTATGGGGGTTTTCCCCTTCACTGTAGTGGAAAACGGGCTGAGGCTAAAGCTCCATGGTGCACATTTTCCTAGGACTGCAAAAAAAAGACACATTGTAAACTCTGACTTTAGCTGTTTAGCACTAGATTAAAATAATTTTCCAAGTAATTAAAAATATTAACCAGCTCCCCTGTATGGACGGTTGAGTTGCTGTGAGTTACAGGGAAAGACCAAGAGGGAAAAAATCTCATTAGTATTAAGAAAAGTAAGGATTAATTGTGTGTCCACCACCGCCTGTGGACACGACGGGAACACCATTTAGGAGTTGGGTCTTAGGGCTGGCAAGGAAGATGAAAATGCATCGCTCTCAAAATGAACCTCAAGCAGGGCGTGGTGATGCACATGAGCCTGTAATCCCACCACGAGGGAGGCTGAGGCAGGAAGACTGCAAATTCAAGCCCAATCTGGACATCTTAGTGAGACCCTGCCCCAAAGTAAACAGCAAAGGCCTGGAGATGTAGCTTAGTGTGAAGACTCGGGTTCAACCTGAGTACCACCAAAAAAAAGAAAAGTGAGAGAGGAAAAGCCCCTTACGTCTGTCAGATGTCCAGCACAGCAGCCAGACTGAGTTCTGCCTGAAAACCCACAGGGGCAAGTCTACATGTTCACAGGAGGCAGCCAGCTTTTAAGACAGCGGTGAACAGAGCACGTTCCGCCAGGGGTCACACCGCTGGAGAAGGCGTTTGGGTGGCTGGCAGAGGCCTGCTACCATCCACGGTGCTCTGAGCCACCTGCTGTCCTGTGAGTCTCCCTGCTCCACCACATCTCTTACCGGTCTGCGCCAGGACCTTGGGCTGTGGGGCCTGTAGGACTGCGGGGCGGAGTACGCTGCGCTGCTGCTCCTTCGGCTTCTGGCTTGGCAGACCTGAGATGGAAGTTGGTGGTCCTGGGCCCAGACCCCTGTGGGAGCCCAGCACCCAGCCCGCCCAGGTGCCTCCAAGAAACCAACCCAGAGACCTGTTCCTGTCCCCAAGGGCTATACTGAGCGGGGAGGGTTTTCTAAAAAACCCTGGGATCGTTTCCTTACAGCTGGATGCACAGATCCCAGGTCCTGTTATTCTGTGTGATCTCCACCTAGTGTTAGGATGCTCACGGAGCAGCGGCTGTTCTCGTGGGGCTGGGCTCACATGTCAGGTAAAATGCCAGGGTAAGAAGGGAATGAAGACTCCCAGAGATTTCTGACTTCTTAAAATGTACACGCAGAAAGGCCCTCTGCCAAAAGTAGCTGGGGCAAGGCCCAAGTGAGGGGTGTCCACTCTTGTGGCCTCCCTGCCAGCCCCCAACTCCTGGGCAGCAGCCCCTGGAAAGACAGGGGAACCAGCTCTGCTGTCACTGCCACAACAGGGCCGCTCCTCTGCTGCTGTGAGAGGCCCTCGCTCCCTGCTCAAACAGGCTCTCCACAAGTGGTTTTCTGGGCTCGCCGGTCAGCAGCCTGCAGAGGTGCAGGAAAGCCTTCAGAGGGGGCCGCCTACCTGCGCTGGGTGCCTGGCCATGGATCAGTGTTGGTGGTTTCAACCGGAACCCGCTGCTCTTTTCCTCTGCAAGCACAGACAAAATATTGTATAAAAAGCAGGCCTGTGACGGGGATGCAGCTGAGCAAAGAGGGTGCCAGGGCAGGAGCCTGAGCCTGAAGAGCCAGGAGAAACACTTTCACATTAAACCAGCTGTGCAGAGGCCCCAGAGTGGCAGGGAGCTGTGCACAAAGGTCCAGGGTCTGCCTGCCATTCCAAGAAGACAAGGGCAGGGCAGCTTGCTCTTTCCAAATGTGCCCACATAGCTTGGAAGGTCTCCTTCCTCAGGGACAGCACTATCGGCCACCTGCTAGTGTGGGCATGGAGGAAGAGGATGGACTGCCTCTGGAGCCTGTCCCCAAACACTGAATCTGTCTTAGGACTCTGTCCATGGTGGGTGCTGGTCTAATCCAATCACGACAGGAAGGAGCATCATAAAAGCCGAGTCCCGCCTTAGGAAAGCACAGTTCAGGCCACCCCAGGTAACCCCCCCTTTATGCTAAAGGTCAACCCTTGTCAGGGCACAGGGCCCGAGACCGTAATACAGAAGCCAACCATCTTTCTATATGCTAGTGGTGAGCACTCTCAAGGGAAATAAAACAGTTCCACTTACAGCAGCCCCAAGAGGAGTAAGATACTTGGGGAAAAATTCAACAAAAGAGAACTGTAATACGAAACACTGCTGGAAAAAAACCACCCGAATAAATGGAAAGATGTGCCAAAAAGCTACAGGGTACATGATCCATGGATAGGAAGCATCCAGAACAGGCAAATCCACAGAGACAGGAAGTGGGCTCGTGGATGCCCAGGTCTGGGACAGGGCTTCTTTTTGGCACGACAGAAAAGTTCTAAAAGTAATGGTAATGATTACACAACTCCATGACTATACTGTCACTTGACTGCACACTAAAATGTCTCTGGTGGGACACAGTGGTCACACAAACTGCCACAGAGAACACACAGCACACAGCGAAGAGGCACTGCCAGGCGGTTCTCTGCAGGAGGCAAATGTGGAGCTTTGTTTCCTTCCAAAGCTCAGGGTCATACAGAAGGTGGCTGGCACCTGAGATACACTTTTAAAAGCCGAGGTCAAACTTATAATTTAGATAATTTTTCAGAAGCCCTGAGAGCTGGATGTAGAACACGCACATCTTGGCTACAGAACACCCTTTGGCAGCCGCTCCGCGCAGAGCCAATGCTAAGGCCAAGCCTTGGCCTGGCCCACTCTGTGGATGCACAGGCCCACACTAAGCCAGTGCTCCAGCGAACAGACAGACAAGGTGCGTGGCACTTCTGATGGCAGCTGGGTACTGAGACAGGGACCTAGACAGCTGCTGGCCCCTACCTGTGGTCTGGTCTCATTCTTTGCAGAACTGCCTTCTGTGCAGCATAGGCAGGGTGCCCCACAGTCCCTGCTTTGGGCCAGACCTACATACCTGCTACACCTTAGCACCTGGGATACAGGCATGGTAACCATGGGCCCCCCAGGGAAGCCCATGCCCACCAGGCAGCAAGTGTGAAGAAGAGAGTTCCGGATTCAATCAGGAGCATACCCTGTAACTGACCTGCCCCAAACCGGATGCTGAAAAGCAGCCAAGAGCAGGTAGCCTGGCTCGAGTTGCAGCCTGGGTGACGGGGTGGAAGGCGCTCGGATGAGGGAAGCGGGAGTGAACGTGCCAAGGACCGGGGATAAAACCAACTTGTCAGTACTGGACATGTGGCCTGGGGAATCTATATGCACAGACAGGCAGGCAGAGGGGCTGCTCACACAGGTAATGTGTGTGTTCCCAGCTGTGCCGCAGAGATGCCAGGAGCAGGGACACAGCCAAGGCATTGAGCACCCACCTTCGGTTCCAGGGAGCACTTGCCGTGACAAAGCACCAGGGCCCATCTGAGGGACTGCAAGATTCCAGGGCTACGACAGGGAAAAAATTTGGGACCTCTTGCCAGGAGAAAGTGCAGAAAATGCTTAGAAGAATGACGGGGACCTGCCCCCGGGACACAGAGACAGGGCTCCTGCTTGGCCAGACCTGGGACCACCTTAGCATTGAAATAAAAACCCTACCAGACACAGCCCAGCAACTACAGTGGGAGCCCACAAGGCACAAGTTAATGGGCGGGAGAGGGGCCTCATCCTTCCGGCACGGCGCCATTCTTCAAGGCAGGTGGGGTTGCCACGAGTCCTTCCGAGAGGACAGCGCTGGACGCAGAGCAAGGAAGAAACAAGATTTCCTGGAGTGACCCAGTATCTCTTCTGGGTACTGAACACCACAGAGAGCGGGGAGCAATTTCCTGTCACTGGTGTAACTGCTGAATTATGCACAAGGCGACTGCACCACACTAATCCGTGACTGTCATTAACCCTGTCAGGAGGACCAGCAAACATGGAGGACACACCACAGACATGTGTCACCTCTGTGGTTCCCACCCAAGACACACTCCCTGGGTCTGATCCCCTGGGAATGCTGGATAGACAACCTGAAGGACGTCCACCTGCCGGACACCGTGCCACAGCCTTTCCAGTCACAGGTGGCAGAAAGGCAGAGGAACCGTCTCCGTGGAAGGTGAGACACCTTTGCTGTAAAGAGAGGTGGACCGCTCTGGGAAAAGGAAGGTAGTCTCCAAGTAGGAGGGACCCAGAAGCACTCTGAGCCTTTTGTAAGCATTAAAACTTTCCAGAATTCAAGCTAAAGCAGAGGAGAGGTAGGCAGGCAGGCAGGGAAGGACGTGAAGTTCACTTTGTGTGTGGTCTGACACATCTCCGTGCACCCACTGGTTGATTAGGGGACTGGGGACTTTCAACCAAGGCTGTGTCCGGGCCCTGGAACAGCTGCCCTTCTAACGCTGGAGAACACAGACAAGTGAGGGCGTGGAGGGGGCTGCGATTTGCTCGAGGTTAGCACGAGACTGATGCGAGACTGATGCGTACCACAGCCCAACTGCCCAAGGGACTGAGCCCCCAGGCTTCTGTGACTGATAACCTGCAGCAGATCTGACACTGCCCCAGGCTCAGGACCCCGCCTGCCAAGCTGACACGCTACCCCTGGGAACTCTGTAGAACCCAGCCCTTCTCTGGGATGAGGTCAGGAGTCAGCTCCACACAGTTTGCTGCTCAAGCCCAAAATCAATTCCACTGTCTGAAACTGTGCCATCAAATCAACCCTCAAAGTTACAAAACACGCCCTGCATCTTCCCCTGCCATCGCCATCATGCCAGCCGACGACGTATCTCACAGCGCTTTTGAAGTCAGCAGTGAATTTATATAAAGCAGGCTGGGTTACAGAATGCAGGCTGTTAAACTCCCTCGTTAAATCTTTTATGGGGAATTTCAGCCATGTGAGAGAAACTGTCCGGAAATCTTAAGAGTTGGTTCTGTAATGATAAACCAAAAAAGGCAGGCTCTGAACTCAGAATGGATCAAGTCGTTTTCCTCAACGTTTCAAAATTCTGTTCGGTATGTTTGTCTGAACAGATATAGGCGATACTGATGTGAAAACTGAACACACTGCAAAGGGGCCTGGAAACATCATACACACTACCCAGTAGTTACCTTTAGAATGGGAGAATGAGTGGGAAGAGGCAGGGGATTCTTCTACATTTATGTTTCTGATTTTTTTTCCTTTTAAACCATATGAACATATTACTTGTGTATGAAATTTGAAAAATGAATAGAACACCTTTAAAAAAATTTTGTTTATTTTGAGACAGGGTCTCCCTATATAGTGCAGGCTGGCCTTGAACTCACTTATGTAGCCCAGGCTGCCCTCCAACTCATAGCAATCCTCCTGCCCCAGCCTCTCGAATGCTGAAAACAGGTGTCTGTCACCACGCCCAGCCTCAAAAAAATTTTTTTAACAAGGATGTCAAACTCCCTACAATCAGGCCTTGCGTGGAGAGACAGACACATCCAGGGCTTTGTGAAGCCGCTCACGCTGGACTACAAATCTAAAGCTGAAGGCTGGGGGCAAGGCCAACACACTTGGTAACTGACAGTAAGTCCTGACTTCATCATCCATTCCTACTGAAGATCTTATGGGGCAGCATCCACTGCAGCATACCAGGGAAGTGCCCTGCAGGGCCTGGGGACAGGGAGATGGATGCCAGGCTGCCTTCCGTCTGAGGGGCTGATGGCATTGCTCTTTGATGTGTGGGCAAGGAGGTGTGGCAGGGAAGGGACAAGAGGAAAAAAGCCAGAGTAGGTGCGGTGGCCGTGCATGGGACATGTCTCCCAGCAGTTCCTGAGCCCTGCCACAGGGGGGCACAGCATGTGGAGAAAGCACTAGACTCTCATGACAAAAATGTCTTTATGCTGAGAGCGAGGGTCTCTGGGCTGGCAGCCTCCATCAGTCTGATGGCTAGCTGCCCATCGTGGCTCATGCCCCGCCTTGCCTTGGCACCCTGGGCCTACAAATGCCAGCCAGTAGGGAAGGAGAACACACAGAGGTCCCTGCGTCTTGTCAGAGGCCTTCTTGCCAGCCTAGTGCCTGCACCTATCTGACGAAGACCTCCCAGTATACAGGCTGGCCTGGGCTTCCAACAACCCAGAGCTCGCCAAGGAGCCAACTCTGAGCACTGGGAGGACAGAGGCACTGAGGTGGGATCAGAGGGCAGTGTGAAAACAGTGCTTTCCAGATACAAGTGCCACTTCTGTCCCCAACTCCATCGGCTGAGAGCTGAGTATTTCGTAGGTGTGGACACAACGGAGGGGAGTTCCCCGCCTCCGTGGACATAGCTTGAGGCATGGAGGAGGAAGGGGCAAAAGCAATCGTCAGGGGGCGCAAACCCCCTCCTTCCACAGGGATAGAGGGCGTTGCCTACCCCAGTATGCACAGATCCTTCAAAAAGAGGACGTCACTGCTGCCTGGACTGCAAACCACGGCAGCTGTCCACTCAGGACCTCATGTGGCTGCGGACAGGGGCGTGGGAGGCCCCAAACCAACACAAAGAGCTACAGGCATGAAATCCAGTGTGCCAGAGGGACGATCGGAAAAGGATGACTTCGTACCCAGTACAGTCCTGTAACGCGTGCATCCCTTTGTGAGCATTAACTACTTTCACAAGGTTTTCCCCTTATGACAGCCTCAGAGTTCACAACTATAAAAGGTTTATAGTAACTTCCCAGGAATGGACTTCCCATCAGGGCACGGCAGGACACGTGCGCCTCCAAGCTGGAGCTGCACACAGCTGAGACAGGGACCATGAGACAGTGCCAGTGTGGACCAAGTCACAGTAGGGAATGGGGGATGGCCCAGTAGCTGTAGTGACCCTTGAACCTGCAGGGCTGCCCCACAGACGCAGGCAGAGGGCCAGCTCTCTGAGCTTCCCACTAAGTGGCCCTGACTTCTCCCTCTGCCGTGGGAAGCTGCCTCTCCAGTAACAGCTAGTCAGAGCCTCAGGCTGGCCCACTGTCCTCCATGACTGTGCCTGTCACCCTCGGGTCCCCCTAACTCCACCAGGCCTCACAAAGCTCCTTGCATGATGGGAAGGAGGACAGGAGCTCATGGCAACACACCCAGGTCTCAACTGCTCCCCTAGAGCCTAGATACTGGGCAAGCAGCTGTAGAGTTGGGGGACATTCTACCCTCTCCGCCTTCAGATACCAGCAATAGCTAGCAGCCTTGGGGAGAGCTGGAATTCACAGCCCCAGTCCCCTGCAACACTCTCCACTTTTTCCTTTATTTGGGAGTCCTTCTTCAGTCTTTCTCAGCACACCACATTTTACCCTGGGTGCTACATCTGGGGCGGGCAGCTCTACCCTCATTCCTGATTGTAACTGGACCTGGAAGGGAGCCAGTAGGCAGGTGCACAGTAAGCTCAAGGGCACATGCGTACTTACCTGACTGTGAAGGCGGGAGCTGTGTTAAAGAGGATGTTCTTTCTCGCTTGACAGGAGGGCAGTAATTTCCATCTTCTCGGTCGGAATCTACAGCAGAGTGAGAGGAAGAGAAGAAATGTCAGGCTCCTGGCAGTCTTCCCTTCAAGATGGCCAGGTATTTCACAGACTTCCTTACCTTCTCCTGCTTCAGGACTGGAGCCTCCCGCTGACCTCTGAAATGAAAGCAAGCAGGTAGTGAGGGGCAGCCTGGGTGCCCAGAGCCCACGGTCCTGGCTCTGGAGCAGGTAGAGCCCAAGACTCAAGGCTGAGGTGGACGCTCCATCCACTTCACCACAGCAGTGCTGTACCCACAGCTTGGCTATCACCTCGAGGAGCCCAGCTGTGCACTCCAGGACCCTCCCTCCTGTCGTCCTCTTGGTCAGGTTGCCCGCTTGTCCAGGGTCATGGCTGGTGGCGTGCCACCCCAATATACAAACGGTACACAAAGGTGGTGGAACTCCACCTAGCCACGCTCTACCCTGCCCACAGCAACCCTCTCCAGCATGACTGTTCAAAGCGGTCGCCTGACACCACATCAGAGCCAGAGCAGTATCCCCACAATCCCCAGCAGGGCAGACTCCTGTTTCAAGTCGGGCTATGCTTTCCAGAGCAAATGAGAACTCTGATGTTCGGAGCCAAAGTCTGCTGCAAAGTGGTCAGAACACTAGCTTCACATTCTGCACAACAATCCTACAGACCACAGAACAATCACAAGTGCAGAGAAGGGGGCCCAGAATCACTGCTTTTCCAGTCTGCAGTCTGAGCACATGAACAACTAGCAATCAAGTTTAGAAGCAGGGTGCCCCCTCCCTCAGTCCCCCGTGTGGGCCCCTTCTACAGCCAGCTCTGCGGAGGGACGCACACCACTCCTCCTCGCATTCCTCACTGACGGCGAGCACAAGAGCCGACTTCCTCACTTCGGAGCAATTCGTCGAGGCCAAGCTCAACCACATGAAGACCTCTTGCCTCGCTGAGCTGCTGGGGATTAAATGAGCGTGTGAAAGTTGCAACTGCAATAAATAAAACTGAAGATGATGGCAGTCAGGAAAGATGTTCCTGAGCAGGGGCTGCTGGCATGTTTTTCCCATAAAGGGCCAGACTGTGTTCTGGCGTGGCTGGCCACATTTGGCTTCTGCCATAGTCTTTGCTTTTGTTTTTATCATTCTCTAAAAATGTAAACACTGTCTAGCTCACTGGCCGTACACAAGCAGGCTGTGGGCAGGAGCGTGCAGCTGTGAGAAGTCAGAGTGGGACGAGGCTCACTGAGAGTCCGCAGCTAACAAAGACAGCTGGAAAGAATCCTAGCCTGGACTTTCTCCTCCCTAGTGGGAGCTAAAAGCCAGGTTTACACTGGCAAAGCAAACCTGGGCTTCCTGTTTGAGCTCTGAGTTCCAAGAGCGCTCAGGAATGGCCTAGGGGACCACGGCTGTGTGACGGGATATGTACCACCATCCCCACATTTGCATCTGGGCAATGGGAGGCCCAGCGGCCACTGCTGCTCAAGTGCTGGGGAGACACCAAGTTTTCTTAACACCACGCAGGCTTGCTGGAGGCTGGGATCACTGTGGAAATGAAGAGTCTAAAGGAAATGAAGCCCTGGTGTCCAGTGGGCTGGCTTCAAGGGGGCACAGAGCAGAGGCTGGGGCTCAAGAGAGGAGCGCAGGCTGCCCAATCCTGTCCACTGCCTGCTCTCCAGGCATGTGAACTTCATCCCTTCCTACGTGGGACTCTTGCCTTGCCTGAGCTTTGCTTCCCTACTTGGAATATGGGGATATGGCTGTCTCCCTGGCAGAAATGGGTGGTGGGGCGCTCAGAGAGATAAAGTAGCCTAGGGCTGCTTAGGCCTAAGGCTTGGCATGCAGAGCAGCAATGCTCAGCTCCCGGTGATTACAAATGCTCACGGCTCACAGCTGGCTCGGCCATGCTCCAAGCCAGCACCTTCCATGACATCAGATCCCTGGCTGTGTGGAGTGGGCTTCCAAGCTTGGGGCACAACAAAGCCATGAAGCCAGGGTCTGGAAGTGAGTCCTCAGTGCAGGCAGGTGAAGGACCTGGAGGGTCCCATCCTGGGCATAGTGGCACACACCTTCAATCCCACCACTTGGGAGACTGAGGCAAGTGGATCACCATGAGTTTGAAGCCAGCCTGAGCTATATAGCAAGACCCTATCTCAAAAAACCAAGAACAACAATAACAATAACAAAAAGGGCCTCGAGCCCAGGACTTAGGATGGGGGCTGAGAGACTATTTATTTTGCAGCACAAGGGATGGAACGCAGGGCCTTTGCCAATCTATATCCTCAGGACTTTTTCAATTTTAAAATTTTGAGGTAGGGTCTTTGTAAATTGGTTGAACTTGTGAGCTTCCTGTCTCAGCCTTCTGGAGTGCTGAGATGACAGACATGCACCACCACACCTAGTGAGAGATACATTCCTGCAGTGCTTTGAGGCCACAGCCTGGGGTTGAATCCACTAAGGAGCACCTGTGTCACTGGCTTGTCATCAGACCTCTCTCTTATGGTCATCTCTTTGCCCAGGTGACATCACAGGGTATGGGCTCCAGAAACTACTCAGAAACATATTGGCAAAGGTGAGAGGAAGCAACTGGAACCCCGGAAGTTCCCTTGGCGTTCTGGAGACCTGGTCATCCCACCCAGCCCCTGTAGCTCTGGGAAATGACTCAGGACACGTCTTCCTCATCCTGACCCTGCAGCTAGCTTTAGCCTCTCTCATGTGCTCCATGTGGGTCCCTGCCGGGCCAGCTAATCTCAGACTCCTCCCTCAGTCCCAGCCTCACCTATCTTCCCACCAGTCCCTAATGGTGGGCCTGGCACACCCTCACCCCATGTCTGCTCCTGTGGCTCCAGGCTCCTTCCCTCTCATGAGTCCAAGAGCATCCCAAATGTACCAAAGGCCTCCATGGTTCTGGGACTGTCCCCTTCCTAAATGACTGGGACCTGGGAGGGCCATCCTCTCACAGACCTCTGCAGGTGACCGCCCCCTCACCCTGTGATGGCTGTCTCCTTTAGACAGGAACAGCTCCCTGGGTCACAAAGTCCTAATTGCTCCTTATATCCCCGCATGGCTCTATGACCCATGATCTGTGCCAGGTTCACCCACACAGCAAAGGCTAGCCTGGAGTCTGTTCACTGAAGGGACTCCACCCTGACAAGGCAGCCAAAAGCTGTGTTTTGCCCCATGGTGGAGTCACACACAGCCACATCTACAAGGACAGGGCCCCAGTACTGTTAGTCCCCAACTTGTGGCCATTCCTCAGCTTCTGCAAGGATATTTCCACCATCATCACGGCCTGTGGCGGGCTGGTGATGTGTGAATTTCCTGGTTCATGACGTCTAACTTTATTTACTGTGGCTGGAGAACCCACCTTGTTTGGAGATGTGTGCCTGAGAGGAATGTGCATCCTGCTATGGCTGCTGGTGGCAGTGGCTGCCTGTGAGGCTGGTTTCTGTGTAGCTCAAGTCCTCTGCTTCCTTACTATCTGCTGTCAATTATGGACAGCGGGGGGCTGATGTCAACTGTCACACTGAAGTGACTGTGTCTCCCTTCAGTCCCATCGGTTTCTGCTCTGCGTACTCAGAGACTCCGATATTGCATACTTCCCAGGGACCCCAGTCTCCATGAGCACTTAGTGAGTGCTATGGATCCTTGCTTGAGAGCAGGATGGCCCAGTCGCAAGCTGAGGCTGCTGGCCTATAGCCCAGCCTCTCGAGGTGAGTGCATAGCTCTGGCACAACCTGCGGAACAGCAGTGCCCTCCCATTCTGGATTCCATCCTCCTCTGTATCCACCATGTCTCAGCGCCAGCCCCTGCATATATCCTCCTGGTCCCGCCTCCATGGCACCCACCATGGCCAGTGCTGGCACCTCCACCTGCCCCTGCTGATGGTCTGCTGTTTACAGCACCCCCATCTGTTCGATCCGCATTGCAAGAGCCCTTGGTGGCTTCCTGCATCAATCGCTTCTGCTCGCCACACTGGCCTCCTTCCTGTTTGCTGAACATGTTGGCTCTGTTCTCTCTGTGTATGCTCTCCTATGCCTGGGGTGCTTTCCCTCCAGGTCTCCAAGGGGCAAGACACTGTCCTTCAGGGTCTGCAGGCTGAGACCATCCACAAAGTTTTGTCCTAGCATAGGTGGAAATGACACATCCATTTGGTATCCTGTCTCCGATTCTGACACAGTTCTGATCCCCAACACCCAGGGTCCTGGGCACAGAAGATGCTTGGCAAAGATCTGCAGCACTGGTAAGAGTTCGTGCTCTCCACTTATCTCCTTTAGTGATCTCAAGAAGAGGTGTCTGGCCAGACAAGACTCCAGATGCTCCTGGGCCTGACTTCAGGAGACCCTGAAGTCTGTGTCCTATCTCTTCCAAGAAACAGCTTACGGGAGGTGGCACATCTCTCAGTCCTGTGCAGACGACACAGAAGGCTTGCCTCCTTGAGAATCTTCCAGGTGCTGCCAAAATCTCCCAGGAGGAAACTGCTGCCAGTGACTCCTCAGTCAAAACCAAAAAAAGCAGGGAGATGGAACCTAAGATGCCCTTCCTGCTGTCTCTGGCTACTACTGCCTCACCTGGAGACCTCCATGGCTGCTTAGAGAAGCTGCCTGCATCCCTTCTGCCACTTGCTTCCCCTTGTCCCTCAACTCTGCTGGACAGGGGCTTCCCTTTCAGAAGACTAAGTCTACTGTCTACTGGTCTGTGCCACCTCCTCCAAGGTAGGAAAAATCTAGGGTCAGGAGCTCCCTCCCATCACCCTAGGCCCAACAAGGCTGACATCTGCCCCCTAGCCATTTCCTGTAGACAGCTTGGGTCAAGGCAGCAGGTTCACAGAACTCGTCTAGAGTAATGCCTGAGATGCATACAGGATGGGCTGGCCCCAGAGGCCTGCAGCCCATGGCTCAGCAGCTATGGAGACAGAACATGTGAGGAAGATTTTAAGAGCACACTCCCAGGATGTGTCCCAGGGAGTTCCCAAACTTGGCTAGTAATGGGAGGGCTAGGCCTCCAGGATGGCGTCCCAGAACGCAGGTTCTTCTCTGCCTTTTTGGGGCACAGTGATAATCACACCAGAAAGCAGAGGAGAAAGAGGACCCACGAGTTCCCTTCCACTTATTTCTTTGGCATCAGGAGGAACATCCGAAGCAGACAGGTAACAACGGAAGAAGTATGCCCATCTGCAGTCCAGGCTAAGCTGACCACGCACCACAGGACAGGCTGTGAGTCCTCTGGCCTGGCAGACACAGGTACCACCGAGTCCTCTCTCCTAGGAGCCACGCATACCTCAGGGGAAGCAGCTGAACTCTGGGAGGTGCATGAGTCCCTGTCACCCAGTACCAGAGAGGGACATCATATCTAATCCGTTCTCTGTCTAGAGGACAAAATGATGAACAATGTGATTAGACATCAAGAATTGCTCCTTCCCAGCTCTTGTGAGGCTACCAGGTGTGGCCTTAGGGAGGACAAAAGGGACAGGCCAGGTTGGTCCAGAGAAGGGGATGGAGCTGGAGGCTGCTGTCAGAAGCTGACTTTACAAAGAGGAATAGGCAGTGAGTAGGAATGAAGGGCGCTTGTCTTCCTGACCACCTGGAAAAGGCCAAAAAGCATAGCCAGGACAGATAACTCACTCCAGGAAGCAGTGGATACCACTGGGCCTGACAGAGCCTCAGTGGATCCATGTGGACGGAGCAGCTAGGAAGCTGGCTGGGGGAGAACACAGTCTCAGATGGAAAGCAGACTTGGGGCCCCTTCAGTGCTGTTTATTCTGTCACCAGGGCAACCAGCTCAGAACCACTTATGGAAGAGGCCACCCCTGGAAACGCGCAGAGGCCACCTTCAGTGTGCTGAGGGCGGTGAGGGTCGGGTCCCATGTGGGAGCTGGAGATGAGCGGCAGCTGCCTGGCCCATTCCTGGCCCTTCCAAAAGCTCCCTGGTGGGTCCAATAAACACACTTGGAGCTCGGCAGCCCCCTGGCGTGGAATTCAGTCCTGCACGGTGCCGGCAGGCGTGGAAGAAGCCGAATGCCCTGTGCTTTCTTGGCATCAGACAGAGAACTTGATCCGCCTGTGGTTTGGTCTTCTTCAGGCTGTCTTCTGAGAGTCAGGAAATCTGATGTATAGAGATCTTTTCCTGGTACTGGGTCCTCAATGGCCAGCGCTCTGCTGAGGCTGAAAGATGATAAGGGCCCTTTGTAAGGAAGCCGCAATTTGTTATAAAGAACGCTTGGCTTTACATTCCCCCAGGGATGATGGAACAGAGAACAGGCCCAACGTGATGGATGAGACCTGCTGGAGAGCGGTGTGCAGTTTCCTGAGCTCCAACGTGGGGCAGAGCAAAATTTAAATCTGTTGGGGTACAAAAGAAACAATGCGAGTTCACCAGAGAAAAGCCTTGGCCCATGAAGTGGTGGGATTGGGTTCTATCTGACTTGATTTATGGCCTAATTGACCTACAAGAAAATTGAGTTTGCCTCAAACATGCCCAATCAGTAGAGAAAACCAATCAACAGGAGCCATTAGCAATGGATAGTCTGAGACACTGAGCCTGTGGCTCAGAGTTGTCACCAAGTGGTGTGACAGTGCTGCTCCCGGGTGTCCCCTAACACTTGGGTGCGCATGTACTACACACCTGGTCCTCAGGGCTATATTGCTGCCACATGCAACCTGCTCCCCAGAGTCCCGAGGTGCTGGCTATGCCTTGAGGTGCCTTAACTCAGCCCGAGGCTCCCTGCCAGGATGCTCCCCACTGTCAGTGTGGGGACTGCTTGCATATCTCAGGATTAGAGGCTCTTGCCTGAAGTCCACACAAATCAAGAAGGCAGCACCCTCAGACACAGGCCACTGCCTGGGCTGGCTGGGCCTCAGAGACCATGGCATAAGGTGAGACCCACTTCCTGCGGGCTTCTATCAGCAGTACCGGGGTCTGTGTGCTCAGGGAGGGCAGCTACCTGTCATAAAAGTTCTACAATGGACGTGGTGGCTACTCTTGTGGTGAAACCTGCTTTTCTGCAGCCGCTCAGCCCTTTACTGTGTGCTCAAAGACTAAAGCCTGGGTAACTCCCAGCGCCTGACTCAAACGCTCTCAGGAGCTACTCTCACATCTGCGCCTAGTTCCTTAGCTTGAGCCCACTTTCCGTCACACGCTTCTTCCTCCAGAATACTACAACTCTCTGCATGTCCTACAGCTTGGTGGCCAAGGCTGAATCTGAATGGTTTCCTTAAACACAGGAAGGAATTGCTGAGGTCTGGGAAGTCTGGGACTGAGCTGAGGGGACAGCCAGGCCCTCTGTTTCCTTGTCATGAGGCCTTTTCTCTGTCAGAGAGCGGCGGTCTTCTGTCACTTAGACACCCAAAGGATGGATTTTCAATCCTGAACTCAGGATGTTTTCCTTTCCCAGTTTATCAGGCTTCAAAAACCTGAGATGCTTCTTGCTCTTTGAGAGTTGACCATCTTCTCGTCCATCTCCAAAGCCTTCACTATACACAGAGGAGTGTTAGGAGGGCCCTTCCACACCCAGAGGCTCTTCTCTTCTTCCTGCTTTGACTGAAAAGACCACCCAGAAACGCACAACCAGCCTGGCTCTCACTCTGGCTCCATGAATCTTCTGCCTAAGATCAGGAAGCCGGAGATCCCTGGATGTCTAAGGCACTAATGCAAATGCCCAAGTTCAGGGAAGGGAAAAAAAAAAACAGGTGGGAGTTTTTTGCAAGGCTCTAACTGCTACTCAGTTCCTCTTCTGGTCTTTCATGTCTCTGAGGAAGCAGCATTACTCTCTTGCTATGGACACAGGGTCCCCAAATTATTATTATTATTTTTTTAGGGTCCCCAAATTAAAAAGCCTCAAAGTATAAAGGGACTTAATCTTTCCTCACTGCTCACAGCATCAGTTAAGGAAAGCTGAAGAAGTCCTTGTCCTCTCTTATCATCAGCAGCTTATGATGACCTGGGGTCTGGAGGGGAAGGACCCAGGAGAAGGGCCAGCCTGGAGGTGCCCTGGGCAGCAGGCGTGCTGGGTGCTGCAGACTTACCCCTGACAGTTTTCGCAGAAAAGGAGGCTGGGCTTCAGGAGCGGGAGGTGGAGGAGTGCTGGCCGAAGTGCTAGCGGGGACAGGAGTTTCTAGGGCATGCTGGCCAGCTGACTCAGGGTGACCTGTGCCATGATGGGAGGCCTCAGCCTCCCCTTGAGGCTCCTCTCCCGAATCCGACAAGATTTTTTGCTCTGCAGAGGACTGGGAGCAAAAAAGACAATTTTCCTTCAATGTAAACAAAAGCTGCACCACAGGGCAGGGGAGGGGAGGGGAGGGCAGGGGAGGGCAGGGGAGGGCAGGGGAGGGCAGGGGCAGGGCTCCTGGAGATGTCCAACCCTGAAGACAGGCCAAAGAGCCAGCATGTGCTACTGTGCTTTGAGTGACAAAACTGGCATTTGCAGGCAACAGAGGGAAAATGAAAGCAGACTAAGTGCTTGATTTTGCAAGGGGCTCAGAGGTGTCTAGGAAGTCTGGACTCTCAATTTCAAAACTCTGGGGCATCTGGACATGGAACTGTTCCGCTTATGGGCCCTGAGGGAGGAAAGCTCTCTCGGTAAGGAAAGGAGATAGTTATGCTAAAACCTCTTGGAACCTGGTAGGGCAGTGAGTGGGTGGGTGGGGGGCGCCTGGGACCCACATGTCATGGGCCTGGCAGCTCACTGCTTTCTTCCTGTTACACCTGAAAGGACATCGTGCCTTCTGGCCTGAGTGGGTGTATCGGGGGGAGTTCTGCTGATAGAGGGGCCAGCACGTACCCTGGGCCCCTTGGATCTGGGACTCTGCCAGGTGCATCCCCAAAACCCAGGAAAGAGCTTATGGCGGAAAATGCCACAGCAAGAGAAAGCTGCTTCTGGAAGTCTTCATCCCCAAGGTCTAACACCCTGTTTGTTGTCCCAAGGTGGACCTTGGGATTCTTTCACAGGCCGAGGCCTGTGTCACCACCACACCAAGACTCTCTTCCAGAGAAGTGGCTTATACACCTGGTGTCCTGACAGAGGACGGGGTCCCTTAACTTCCCACGTGGCACTATCCAAAATGCAAAGCTGCTTCTCTCACTTGGTGATAAAAGCGACCACAGGCTGCCTGTCTCCCTGCTGCTGCGGCTTCATGTCTTTTAGGTGTGAAGTGGCTCCCTCTCCGGAAAGAGCACTGCTGGTGTTTTGTTTTGTTTTAAGACAGGCTCTTGCCATGGTGCCCAGACTGGGCTCAAACTTCTGGGCTCAAGAGATCCTCCTGAGTAGATGAGACCAGAAAAGCATGGTCATGGTGCCTGGCTTGGGCACTACTTTTAACTGTACGATATTGTAGAAGGAAATGACCTGTGTAAAGGAGATTTAACAGAACTTCCAAAAATTCTTAGGAAAGCCAAAGTAACCCAACGTTAACTCATTTTGTGTCTCAAGATTGACCAAAGGAGCACTATCAACTCTTTCTATCCAGGGGACATCCAGGGACACAGACGCCTCCTGAGGGGCATGATGGTCAGTCCAGCCACCAACATCTGCTGCTACTTTATGACACAGATTTAACACCTCACCAGGGAAAATTAAACCCAGAGCTCTGTGGGCAATTGCCTGTCTCTAATAAGAACCACTTGCATTTTCTTTTTAAACTCCTGCTTTTGGAGTATAAATACTCAAACATCTGATGACAGGCTAAAGAGGCAAGCCTATGATTCCCGGTACCGGAAAAAAAACAAAACCAAAACCAAAAAAAAAAGAGGCAAGCCTAAGGGGAGGTGTCCCAAAATGAGATTAAATTCTTCATCTTTGGTTAAAAATGAATACTTCTTAAAAGTGTTGAGAAATATAGTGTCACTTCTCTCAGAGATTGAGCAGAATTTCTTGGGAGAATTAACAAAATACCCTTTCAACCTGGGTCCTAGCATTTCTGCCAAGCAAGGATCAGGTGCCAAGCCTTCCACATAATTCTAAAATATACCTGACTGACCAAAAATACAAGTGGCAAGCCTGTCACCCCAATGGTAAGTCAGTCCAAACATACTGGAACAGCGTTTTCAGTGACACTAAGGTTTCTGTCACACAGCCTTTCTGCAACTGTTTACCAAATGGCATCATCCTTGCCAGGGTGACCTTGAAACCCCTGCAAGACATTAAGAAATGCTCCGAATGGAGACCACTGAAAGCAGCCCTCCGTCACCAGAAACCACGAAACAGTCCACACAGAGATGCTTAAATTCACTTCACATCAAAGAGGAAGAAACTGTCTCCATTCAAGGCAGTCTGGAAAGAAAGGTTTCCTCCCACCCCTACACACTGCGCACATGCAAGCCCACATTTCAGGGAAGTGCCATCCAAGTGGTGTGAGCACAGGGAAGTCAGTAAAATCCTGGTGCTGTCTGATTGGTCATGGAGTCTCCCTATGTGTCAAGATTGGAATAAAAATTATCTGTCATTTTGTCTAACATGGAACAACAGAAGGATCTAGCAACTTGTCCCAAGGGTAAGTGATGCCACCCACCGGTTTGTGGAGGGCACTCTGGGTGGCTCTGGCATTGAACAAAAACAGAAATTCCTGGGCTGGCAACTTAGCTTTTTTCTACCTTAAATCCTTATCTCAGGCACA